TTCTTCTCAAAGGTGATAAATCATAAAATCATAGAGTAGAGTCTTGGAGGTGATCCGGTATAATTTCCAGCTCAAAACCAGGATCTGTAGAAGACTTCTGATGGATGACCATCCAGTCTCTGACTGCAGATCCCCAACAGAGAAGAAACCACCTCTTTCTGTGGCAAGCTGTTCTACCAGATGACAGCTCATAGGGTCAGTCCCTCAAAAGTTCCTCTGGAAGACCAGTCAAAGTGGTCAGGATTGTACCCATCCTCAGGTAGTTTTGCATTCAAGCATTTGTGTTCTGGGCATGAACCAAACTCAGAATGATGCAGGTCTACAGAAACGGTTCTTTGGGCTGCGGTTGTTGCAAGGGGCCCTCAGAAGAATTGGCTTGATGACAGCAGAGTGGCTCAGCTCCTAATTTGATCATCCATCTCTGAATGCAGCCAGTTGTGCAGTCCCTAAACACAGCAAATTACTGTACCAAAGCTATAATCACCCTCTCTACACACTCCAGGGTTCTTTTTTACTGCTCTTAATTGGATGATGAACTCCATGGTGTCCCATCTCCTTCCCACCAGTTCACTTCAGTGCGTGGCTTTCTGTTGTTGTTTTTGCGACTTCAAGAATACCACCATCCCCTCTTTATGCTGTGTCTTAAAGAAATATCTACGTGCAAGCATTTGAAATATATGCACAGCCACTACACACTATGCACCTATAAGTGCCAAGTCAGAATCAATCTGACTAATCCACATTCTGTATTTCTGGAAACCCATTATGACTGGCTGATCAAAATCTGAACCTGTAACACCAATATTATTTGCCCCCTGGATCTAAAATGTTTTCAAATTAAAATGTTTGTGGAGTACAGTTAGGCTGTTGGACTAGGATCAGGGACTCCCAGATCAATGTCCAATTCTATCAGAAAAGTTCATTGAGTGATTTGGAGAACAGTTAAAAATTTCTGTAGCCCACCTGAGACATACCGTAGGGGTTGTTTTGGGGCTGGAAGAAAATAAATTGAGGAGGAAGAAGTGGTATTATGGCCATCTAGCACATCTATTTGGATTTTTGCAGTCTAGATCTCCAAAACCTAGCTTCCAAATGGATAAGACAGCCAACCTAGTTGTTTACTCTGATGGACCATCTAATTCTACCACTTCTGCCCTCACCACATAACTGAGGTGAGGACACTGAATCTTCAATTCCATGAGAGCTTTCTTAATCTTGAAACCCAAGTTAGTTCTTCTTTCAGTTCTCACTTCACAACCCAACAAGGTTGGCTCTAAGAGAACCATGTGTCCTTGGGTGTCATGGGATAATGTTAGAAATATCATCCAGGCCTTATTTCGGGAGAATTTTGGGCAGACAGTAAAGTCCTATGTATGTTTTGGACTTCCAGTCCTCTTAAGGCCAGAATCACGCACTTGTATACCTTGGGCTTCAGACCTTCTGAAAAGTTACCATTGGCCACCTTCCTTAGTAGGTACAGCAGTGAGATCTCCCTCAATGTAAAGATTCTAGGAGATGTTCGCAATACTGAATACTAGGGATAAGTACATCATACACAGATGTTCAGTAGTGAGTTGTCAGATCCTTCCAAGTCTATAATTGCATTGCCAAGTAAAATCCAGTTTGAAGAAACTTTGCTTTGAAAGGTGACTTCGTAATTACTTGTCTCATGAAACATTTTTCATGGAGGTTCTTCCAAACCTATGACAGGAGCCGTTTCCAGTTAAGGCTGTTTCTTACAGAAACCTGGAGGTTGCTAGAGACCCATGGTGTAAAACCATCACGGTTCATCTGGTATCAGCTTCCAGTCCCTGTCATAAGCTTTCAAAAGCACCCAGGTCTGCAGCGGGCTGATAAAGCGTTATAAATAAATAATAGCAATGTAATGAGGTAGCTGGTAAATGTTGCGTCAACATCAGTCACTTGGTAAAAGAGCATTTACTCTCAGCGTCCATCCTTTGATCTTAATCGCCCCCCTCCTTCTGCTAAACACATTTTCCCCATCTCCGCGCAGGATCCCGCTTGATCTGCCAATCGTGCTGGAGTAGCAAAATTCTTCTCCAGATCGATATTTCTTCACTTTAGATGTTATGATTGCTTTGAGATGCAATGGCTACATGCTCCCAAACTACATTATGGTGAAAGGAAAGCAGAGCAGAAGAGGGAGGGGCAGAGGCTACGGCCAGCAAAATATCGAATCATTTCTGCATTAGCAGACGGGAACGTTGTGCAAATATTGATTCATTCTTTCTTTCTTTCTTTCTTTCTTTCTTTCTTTCTTTCTTTCTTTCTCTTTCTGTCTTTCTTTTCTTTCTTTCTTTTCTCCCTCCACCCTTCCCTACAGGAACACTTCACGCCAGAATGCAAGTTCAAAGAATCCGTTTTTGAAAATTATTACGTCACGTATTCTTCCATGATCTACCGGCAGATGCAGTCAGGGAGAGGCTGGTACTTGGGTCTCAACAAAGAAGGCGAAGTCATGAAAGGGAATCACGTGAAGAAAAACAAACCCGCTGCTCACTTCCTCCCCAAACCGCTCAAAGGTAACACCATTCAGACTTCCTCAGCTATTTGTAGAGGATTTTTGAGTACAATTTGTTTTGTTTTTTTCCTCTCCTGCCGTTTTGTCCTCAGGATGCTTGAGATCCCGTTTGCATTTCTCTAGAGGCCCTTTGGAGAGTCTGCCTCTGTCTTCTGCTACACCGAGTCTTGTTTATCTTTTGCTCTGTGTGTGTTTGTGTGCTTGTGCAATGAGTGGGTGGGGAGAAGGCCCAAATGGAAGCAACAGGTAGCACGCCTAGACAGAGCCAGGATTGTTGCCACTTTCCTAAAAGTTGGGAAGAAGTTGGGAAGGTTGGGCTTTTTACCCTCCATTTCTGTCTGTGGCTGGGCTCCAAAGGGCAAGAAAGCAGACCGCTGGATTTTGGCAATTTGGGTTGGAGGGGATAAATTGGGGTCTGGATGCAACCTGGTGGCTTCAGGTTGATGATGATGATGGTGATGATGATGATGATGATGATAATAATAATAATAATAATAGTAATAGTAATAGTAATAGTAATAGTAGTAATAATAGTAATAATAGTAATAATAGTAATAATAATAATAATAATAATAATAATAATAATAATAATAATAATAATAATAATAATAATAATAATAAAGTTGGAAGGGATCTTGGAGGTCTTCTAGTCCAACCCCCTGCTCGGGCAGGAAACCCTAGACCATTTCAGACAAATGGTTGCCCGGTCTCTTGTTAAAAACTTCCAGTGTTGGAGCATTCACAACTTCTGGAGGCAGGTGGTTCCACTGGTTAATTGTTCTAACCATCCATGCCTTCCGTTTGCAACTCCCCCAGCAGTGAACCCAAACTAGATGAATCTTCCAGCAAGCATTGCTCCTCTCCTTTGTCCCTGTACTCACCTTGGTAATCTTCTTCCTGAATGCAGATGGGCAAAATGCTTTGAACGGTGACATTTCTGGGCAGATTTTCCTCTCCCCTCTCCCCCCTAATGCCCTCAAGGGGGTGCTTCTAAGTGTTCCCCCTCCCCCCTGGGGAAGGCCAGGTCAAGAAACTTCAGCTGGCCCAAGATTACTTGAGTAGCCATCAGGCTGAGCTTTCTACCCCTCTTAGGTTGAGGAGCAACCTCCTGGAAGTCAGTTCCTGGATAAACATAGAACATAGAGTTATAAGGTTGGAAGGGATCTTGGAGGTCTTCTAGTCCAACCCCCACCCCAACCCCTGCTCCAGCAGCAGACCAGTCTGTGATTCTTCCCTGACTTTCCTTTCTCCTCCTTTCCAACCAGTGGCCATGTACAAAGAACCCTCCCTCCACGACCTTACCGAATTCTCACGGTCTGGCAGTGGCACCCCAACGAAAAGCAGAAGCGTCTCCGGAGCTTTGAACGGCGGCAAATCTATGAGCCAGAACGAATCGACGTAGCCAGGACGGAAAAGCTAGAGGAGAGAAGAAGCATCCGTGGGAACTTTTACCTCTAGATCCGTTGTGGAGCCCTGGTTTTTGCACCTACCGTTCAGCCCTTCCCGACAAGCCAACAAACTGGGATAGCTCTCTTGGCCTTTTATCCGCGACTTTGGACTTTCCGGAGGTCCCCAAATAACCGTAAATGATTCGTGTCAAAGGAAAGATTCCCCCCCCCCCAATGATGTAAAACGCACTTGTGCAAACACAGGCCTATCCAGACAAACACGAAGCAATGACCTCACATTGCGTCTGCCTTTACCTCTCCCCCTCACCTACGCTCTTGGGGAGAAGAAGAAAAAAAATCCACAACATTTAAAAACACATTTTTGCTTTCCAGCCGAGACAGAAACCCTGTCAAAGTTTGTTCTTTTTTTTTTCTTTGCTCTTTGAAGGGAATTTCAGTATTTAGTGTTTTATATGTGAATGGTTCAGAGAGGGGAAGGGAGACTCTGTACACCCTCTGCTTTTTTTTTCGACTTACCATTTTATATATCATCAAGCTTGGTAAGGAAAAGAAATCTGAATATATCTCTTTTTTTTTTTTGGCATTATTTTGGGTCTCTTCTCTCGGAAGGGGTTTTGAGCTGTGTCTTTACAAGCCAAGCAAAATCCTGCTAATATGCTAGTGTAACCTTGAGGAAAAATAATCAATAAATCAGGTTTGGAGCCGGATCGCAGTAGATCTTAGGCTCCAGCAAAAAAAAAAAAAAAGTGTTCTTGTGATTTTAATACAAACTGAGATATATACAGTTTTTTATAGATTTGTAGTCATCCTTTCCAAGGCCTCATGCTAAACCCCCAGTCTGTAGGAACCGAGGTGTGCGTTAATTTCCCCGTCTGTGGAAAATAGTTATTTTTTTAAAACAGGGTGAATCGAGTTCTTCCCACAATGTAGATTCCTTTTTTTTCCCCTCCTCTTCTCTTAATTAAATTTTGTGTATCATATTTAAAAACAAAAAAGCAAAACCTGTGGACATATACCTTCTTTTTTCTAAAGACAGAAACTGTGGAACTAAAGTGACTTAACTACGTTTTTATAAGGGAAACCATGACATCTTGTTTGTAAACATCTTTCCTTTTGCTTCCCTGAAAATGTGGGTGGAGAATGAAGATTATCCACGGATAAGTTGGGGAAAAGTCTACACGGAAAGGAATTGCAATCCAGCCTGTTGAGGTCACTGGGATGGAAGGAAGTAAGATGGGGTTCATCTCTCCTGGCCTGGCCTTGAGAGAGGAGAAGCCGTAGAGACAGGAAAGGACTGGGGGATTTCATACCATCTGGCTGGAAATTGGGCAGATCATGATGGAAGAAGAAAAGGTACAAGCATCACCACATGGAATCTTTCTGAATCCAATAGAAGGGAATCTTTGTAGCTCAGGGTTGAACTGTGGGGTCCTTGGTGGTCTCTGAGCTTGGTGGGGTTTTTCTGCGGACGTTTCATGATCCAACCTGGTAACATCATCAGGGCAGGTGGCATCTCCATCATCCAGCACCAATGATGTTACCTAGTTGAGTCGTGACACATCTACAAGAAAACAAACAAGCTCAGAGAGCACCGAGGTCTCCACTTCCTGAATCCTTATTTTCTATTTGCGAGAGGCTGGAATTGTATCTTTCCTTCTTTGTTTTTTTTTTTTTGTTTTTTTAAGGAAACAGAAGTAATGCAACCAGGGAGGGAGAGAAAGTTAAGTTAATGTTTAGTTCATCATATCTCTTGCATGAGAGGAAGTTGGATACTGGCTTCAGAAGTTGCATGACCTGTTTAAGATTTTGTGCATTGCTCTCTGTTGAAGATAAAGTGTGCAAAGCAGAGATGGGCCAGGATGAGCTGTTTCCTGTCGCTTTGTACAGAGGAGATGTTTATTATTTGTTGTATACAACCATGCACTGAATAAACAAATTTATATTAAGGTGTCCATTCTAAAAAAAAAAAAAAAAAGCAAAGAATAACAAAGCCTAGGTGGTGGATTCATTCAGGTCTAGAGCTTCTTACTGTATCTGGAGAAATCAGAGAGGAAAGACAGTCTTGTAAGTTACAGAACTTCCATCTCAAACTTTCATTGCTTCTCAAGTGGGCTGGGTCTTTTGCAAAAGGAATCCCTTGAATACTGTAAGGAATCCTGTGGTCTTTCAAGATGCTAATAGAAGAGCTGTAGAAGATCTGCAGGTGAATTCCATCTCCAACATCTCCAGGGAGAGCTGGAAAAATGCTTGAGAAGCTTTGCACAGCTTCTTGGTTAGTCAATTTCAATAACCATGGGGGACACAGAATAAGAGGGCCTTTCATTTTAAGATAACTGTTAGGGGAAAGCTGTTCTTCAGGTGTGAATGGATGGCAGGTGCAGAACCCCCCCCAAAAGGAAACCTGCTCAAGACTTCCAATTCCAAATTCCCTAACTTGGTGTCATCTCCCCATCCTCCCTTAACTCCAAAGGAGATGTTTGCATGATTACTAAAACCATATTTAAGAGGAGGCTGGAGAGCTTTCAAGGAACACTGCAGAGTGGAGAAGAAGCCAAGATCTTCCATACTCTTGGCTACCAACCTTCCAAGAACATCTTCACGCTTGCTAAAACAAGTTGGTCTTCAAACGAGCTGTAGCTTTCGCTGGCCAGAGCAAAATGTGGCCTCCTGGAATCAGAAGCCATCAGTCACTTTTGGGGGGGAGGGGAGAACTGAGAAAGATTAATCGCTTTGTTCTCTTGCCTTTTGAGAGAGGGAAAAAAAATCCTGCATAAGTCAACATCAATCAGTATCTAAGGAACCCAACATACGGTTTGCAAAGTACGGCTCACTTTCCTTTTCAAGCGCTGACATCCACTTAAATTCATCATGTTCCTTCGGTGAGTCTTTCCCAAGTTAGATGTGTTAAGCCATGGGGACCACCATTCCCAGCTAGCATCCTAGCATTATTCTGGGAGCCCATTCATAGGTGGTTTTGGAGAAGGTTGAAGTAAGGGTGGCATGAAGAACTTCTAGGGAGATTCTCCATCCTCCGGGTCACGGTTGTCCCAAAGATGCTTTTTTTCCAAAAGGCAACTGGACTTTCTTGGTTTTATTCCTTGAAAACATTTCACTTCTCATCCAAGAAGCTCAGAACTGAAGAAGCTTCTTGGATAAGAAACGAAACATTTTCAAGGGGAAAAAAAAAAACCCAAGAAAGTCCTATTTCCTTTTGGAAAAGCACCTTTAGGACATGAAGAACTTGCTTTGAAAATGACCAGGGGAGAAATGATGTCTTGAAGCTTAGGACTTGTTAGGGAGAAGAGATTTTGGGGCCTCAGCTCCAGAATGAAGATCTGATATGAGTAGATGCTCTCCTTGTTCTGCCTAGCTCCTGTTCAAGTCTTATTGCAAGTAATTGTCCCTAATCGGTTTTGGCTGACTCTCTCCACCCACACAAAATAAAAAAATGTAATAGCTAGTTGAAAACTCTCCAAAACTTCATGGGAAACTCATTCTATATATTGTCCCAAAAACTACATAGACGTGCAAATACAGTCACCAGATGAGCTGAATCTAAGGAGAGTACAATTTATTCATGTTGTTATTTATTACAGTATTTAACATCCACTGAGCTCAGTCCAACCTTTGTCCTACAGAAGTAAGCAAAGGCTTAGGGGGGGCTTAAGGAAATATCAGAAAAAGGCAAATCCTTGTTTGCATGGAGTGGGAATTTCACGGCATCTCACACATTTTGACGGTGGCAGAGCGGATCGGTAATTTAGCAGGCCAGAACATCTCAAGAAGGACCCTGGTAGACTCTTTGACATGTGACAGCAATTCAAATCCTTAGTCATATTCATGCATAAACTGGCAGTTAATTGGAAGGCTCTTGACAAGCTACATTCAGCCTCTTATTTAAAACTCAAAGGTTGGCAAAGATTCAAAGAGATGGTTCTTTCGTAAGCTAGTTGATTGCAGATGCTGGAAAAGCCCTAATTAGAAGCAGAAAATTGCATCCTATAAACCATACATGTAGCAGTTCCAGATTTCATTTCCTACATCTCCATCTGCTCATGTCCCCTAACCAACTAGAAGCAGGTTACTTCTCCGTGGTAGACACTAGAGGACTTCTGTACATTTTTTATTTTAGCAGATCTGCCAAGTTGTAGGACCTTTGCATCTGATTTTTTTCTAGCTAGTACGGAGCTGGGAGAAATAGATGGAGAAGCTTCTGCCTGAGGCTGTGGTACTGTGGATTTGATGGACAAAGAATCTGGGATCCACCACATAGGATGAAGTCCCGGATTGCTTATCCAATGTTTGATGAATTAGAAACACTTGATTAGGTTCACACATCATGCTAAGGCATTGACCATCATGGTCAGATGGTTGAATCATGCAACACATTAGCCAAAACCAAAGGCCTCATGATGATAGATCTTTTAGGCATCGAATCCAGTTTGGTGACCTTGGGCATATTATTCCTTTCACCTTATTTAGGACCAAGACCTGGATGTCCCATGCAAAGTGAAGTTATAGTATTTGGATTCATGTTCTTCTTAGGCCTGGCTAAAACTCATGCCCACTAACTGGGAATAAATTCCACTGCAAATCACACAAAACACATCCCCATCCTATGTTTAAGAAGTCAGCCCCAGAAGCCTCTCCCATCAAGTCAAATGTATCAGTAATCAGTAGGACTGGAAAAAACACATTCACAAAACAAGTCTTTCAGCAGTCTACTGAACACAGTTTAGTCAAACAAAGGTTAAGATGATCAAACAAGAATTCCAACAAGAACTTTTGTGCCCAAATGTGAAGCTTCTCTAGGCATTGCAAAATGGTGAACTTCTGGTTTTCTTTCTTTTGATGAAGGAAAGGAGCAAATAAGCAAGCTTAAATCTGGATAATATTTACACATTAGGGACTTGTCTCTTATATAGTGTGGGAAATTCACAGTTGGTGAAAGAGCTGGAAGCTGCATTCCTATACAATGCTAGGCTTGGTTAGGGTTAAACCTGGCTAGCTTTCTTAAGTTTAGCAAGCTGGATGCATTCATCTCTCTAGAGAGCTTACTGTAAGCTTCCTTATGTATGGAAAACCAAAAACTGGACTAATTTAGCTTGCTGTGTGTTGGTAAAAAATGCAGTGGTGGAAATCTATCCTACAACACAGCAATAATTCATCCCTCTCCCTCTCTCCTCTCTGTTTTGATAGCTTTTCACCA